GAAGAGAAGAACACTGCGGAGTGTCATTCGTTCCGAGATCTTCTCATTCGTGTCGAGATCTTGTCATTCGTGTCGAGATCTTGTCATTCGTGTCGAGATCTTGTCATTCGTGTCGAGATCTTGTCATTCGTGTCGAGTTCTTGTCAATCGTGTCGAGATATTGTCATTCGTGTCGAAACCTTGTCACTCGTGCCGAGATCTGTTCATTTGTGTCGAGATTTTGTCAATCGTGTCGAAATTTTGTCATTCGAGTCGAGATCTTGTCATTCGAATCGAGATTTTGTCATTTGAGTCGGGATCTTGTCTTTCGTGCCGAAATCTTGTCATCCGACTCGAGATCTTGTCATTCGTATCAAGATCTTGTCATTCGAGTCAAGATCTTGTCAATAGAGTCAAGATCTTGTCACTCGTGTCGAGAACTTGTCATTCGTGTTGAGATCTTGTCATTCGTGTCGGGATCTTGTCATTCGGGCCGAGATCTTGTCATTCGTGTCGAGATCATGTCATCCGACTCGAGATCTTTTCATTAGTGCCGAGATCTTGTCATTCGTGTCGAGATCTTGTCATTCGAGTCGAGATCTTGTCATTCGAGTCGAGATCTTGTCATTCGTGTTGAGATCTTGTCATTCATGCCGAGATCTTTTCACTCGTGTCAACATCTTGTCATTCGGGTATAGATCTTGCCACTCGTAAAGGAATCACTCTTGTGTCACTCGTGCCAGTATTTCCTTCGTGACTCTTATGTCGAAATTTCCCTTGTATTTCTGGGGTCGAATTTCAGTAGAGTCACTCGTGCCAGAATTTCCCTTGTGCCATTCGCCTAGGAATTGATGCCACTGTGGCAACAAGGCTTGATCGATGGCATGCCATCGCAATATCAGCATCATTATCGATTCTCGTTAATAGATTCTGTCAATCAGAAACCGGGTCATGCTGACGAGCCATTTTCTAATTAACTAATTAATTAGCAATTGTTCTTCAGGTAATAGGTAACTAAGGGGTTAATTATAGCTATCGGCAGTCATGACAATATTTTACAATATCTTTTAAAACATTAATGAATACGACTCACGTTTATATTCGCTTACGTTTTTATAAAACAAATTATTTTTAATGTTTATTTTCTTGGCGTGATTTGCATTAAAAAAACTCTGACTTAACGGTAATTATCCTGGATAATTTTTGTCGGAATTCAGCTCTACAGCGACATTAAAGCACGCAATGGCTTCCTTCCCTATGAAATTATAAAACACTTTTAGGCCTGGAACAAAAAACTGAAGCGCATTAGAAATATTCTGGACAATCCCCTCGAAGTGGGGCTGCCTCGGTCTAAAAAGCCTCATTTGTGAGGCCAAAGTTTCTTGAACTTTTTTCTTGTGGTAAATAAAAATTCAGACGAGGATAATTGGAATTTTTTGAGCGCAACGAGCGAGGCTGGTCGATGAAGGAGTTGGAATTCTCATACCCGTTTGGCCGTTATTTATTGCATGCATTCGGAATAAGTGGTTGGTATATTTTTTATATTTATTGTATTATTTTTAATAGATCTATGTTAGTTAATTTGTTGATTTTTTAATATGATTGAGATGACTGATAAATGATTATAATATATTGATTTTTTAATTGATAGTTTTAATAGTTCTACGCGATTTAATGTTCAATATGATTGAAAGGAATGCTTGCAATGGTTAGTGTTTGAATCATAATGATTGAATTATTATTTCTTACTGTTATTATTATTAATTATTTTTTTCCAGTTCTAAGTAGATTAATTTATTAGTTCGATGAGAAGGGAAGAACTTTCCCTTCATTCTTGGATTTCTAAATGGTCCCATTTTTACTTGAATTATCCATTATTAAATATTCGCTCTAAAATTTCTAGTGGAGCTCACACGTTACTCGAGGCTTTATGCTGAATTCATTCACACGCTCAATATGGAATAAATCTCTTCAGGTGTTCACTCATGTCCAAAGACTCGAGAACTTCGGGGCCAAATCTTTAGAGTTTAAACAATTCTCACACATTGTCAGCTAAGGCGCACCAAACTCTGTCAAAAATTCAGATGATCTGTCAACAGAACAAAAAAATGTCAACCGCGGGGACACAGCCAGTTACTGCTGACTGCGTGCACTCAGAAAAATTACTGGTTAACATTGTCCAGATGATGACACACTTTCTGCAAGTAGCACTAGAATGCCCATTTACCCGGCCAAAACGGGTCAGAATGTCCGCACACAATGACAAAAAGTGCATCGCTGTTTAGACAAAGTCTCAATCATTTCTCTCCATGTGCCGACGCTTCTTGCTTTAATTTAGTTGGCGTTGCAAGCTGCTTTTGAATGCACAGACGACGAAGTCAGAGTAGCGTGATGGCCGGCCATCACAGGACGATTTTTAGCAGCAATGGAGCGGCCAGACTCCGTTTAGTCATCACCTTAGCACTCTTATTGCCTGCGAATCCCTCCATTAGAGCTGCCACACAAAACTGATTGCGTGAATTTGCGGGGAAATGGTCGCTTCCTAGTGGGCTTTTTGCGTCCACGTGGGTTTTGCATTGCGGTTTAAATATGACCCAGACACGCGAGAGAAGCCCACGGGTTTCTTCTTATATCCACATGGGTTTTGCATTGCGGCTCAAACAAACCCAAGAGAAGGGAGAGAACCCCATGGGCTTCTTTTTTTTCGTCCACGAGGGTTATGGTTCGAATAAGCCAGAGACTCACGAGAGAAGCGAGGGGTTTCTTTTTACATCCACATGGGTTTACGGTTCAGACAAGCCCGAGATACGCAAAAGAAGACCATGGGGTTCTTTTTAGGTTCACAAGGGTTTTGCATTGCGGTTCAAATATAAGCCCCAGGCACGCAAAATAAGCCTCTGTTTTTTTTACATGCACGTGGGTTTAGCATAGCAAGCGGCTCAAACAAGCCCCAGAGAATGTGCGTTTCTCGAGCGACAGCTCCACTTAACGCAAGCTTCAAAATACTTCGCCGGAATAAAGTGCGGGCGAATGCGAGTGACAGACAGACAGCATTGCGGCACAAGCGAGCCTTCAAAAACAACGACTTGGATTTGCCGAGCACTGAGACGAGGAAAAGCAAGGATTTGTGCTAATGGAGGCGCCATTAACACAATCCTGCCTCCAATTTCATTGTCTCCTAATTGTGAGAGTATGGACACGGAAGCAATTTGTACAGGTAATTTAAGGGCATGTGTACTGCGGCGGACAGTTAAATGAGCACCCCATAAAAACGTACAGGAGCTCGACTGAGAAAAAAGCTTCCAAGGCTGACGTTTCCCACTGTGCTCAATGGGCATCCATGCCACGGTACTTAAAATGAACCTGGAACAAAAACTTTAAGAGTTGAAAAGCAGGAAATAACTCAACGTAGAAAATATATGTCGTAATGTCTTCCGTATTAACTTTAGTCATAACACGCTAATTAAAAAATGCATAATTTTAATTTATAAAGTCTCATACAGAGACGCTGCTACATCAACAATAACAAAAAAAAAATGTTTCCATAAAAACAAGGCAAAACTTGCAGTACTTCTGTCCTGCGACGAAGGCGCTGCTATATAGGCGTCAACGAAGCCGTTACTATATAGGAGGACCATGCAAAAAAGTTTTAATGAAAGCGCTTCTCATTTGCATACACGTGCCGAACATAAGCATGTCATTGCACGTCAAAACGCATAATTTTTCCGCCTTCATGGCCGAAATGGAATGCCATTTTTGGCTTGGTACAGAATAGCGTTTGCCCGCATGGCCAGACATAATTAATAACAGGCCTGTCGTGTTGGGCTGGCAGTTGCTTCATCTCGCGACCAGTTTTGCAAAGCGCCTGAGAATAACTGCATCGCTGAAGCTGGCAGTTGCTTCATCTCGCGACCAGTTTTGCAGTTACAGCGCCTGAGAATAACTGCCTCACTGAAAGCATTCTTCCTGAATGCGAGAGACACGCCCTGCACTCAGAGAAATGCTCCAGATTTTGTCCATATAGCAACGCACTTTAGCGCTTTTTTTGGGTAATTCTGTCCAGTTTGGCCCGACAAACCGGCGGATCTGTGTTTTATTATTGTCCGCTCGCTGTTCGTGCTGCGGGTAATAAAGTGCGTCACTATGTGGACAGTTTGACTCACTCATTTTTCTAAGCGTAAACTTATTAGCACATACAGAGAAGTTCTCAACGTAGTTTTCATCTCGTGATTTCTGAGTGATCATAGAAATTATTTCAGGAAGAGGACGTAAGTATTTTTATTGTTTAGTACGATCGTGCAGTCTGATGGAACAAATCTAATTAGCTCGTATAAATTCAGACAATTAAGAAATTTGAAAATTGTCTTACATTGGATCAAAATTACAAAAAAGACTAGAAGTATATTGCATTCAAGCATTGAGTGGGAAAGCTACTAATGTTTACCTGGATCTCATTTTAATTCGTTACTTAACAGCACTCCAGATAATTTACTTTCCAGACAATTTTCTGGATTTTGGCACTCAAAACAAAAATTTGTATCAGACAGCATTTGCAGATGTTCTTAGTCAATGTCAAGTTGCAAAACTACTTTAATTTCTTACGCATAGTGCGGAAAAGAGGAGCTGAAATTGATACCGATAAGTTCTTAAAAAATATATATAAACTAGTCAAATTATCTGATGTATCCGCCAAATGCCAGTATGTCTTAACCTCTTATAATCAATTTATGATGTTTCTTGTAGATCAAAATCTATCTTGAACGACGATCAAATGTCATTAAAATAACAGCCTCAGTAATAATTACGCATGTCAAAAAGAGTACCTCTATGTCACAGCGAACTTTTCCACTCATGTTATCATTCATATATAAAAAATGTCACCGAGGAACGACTGTCCAGCAAATAACAACGTTGACCATAACTCCACATGCAAATAACAACGTTGACCATAACTGCACATGCAAATAACAACGTTGACCATAACCGCACATGCAAATAACGATTTTTTTCATGTGCTTCAGACGCGCCGGTATGTCGCAGCGACCAGCCCATGTACCACGGCGCTGCACGACATGAACAAGTCAACATTCCTTGTCATCTCGAGTCTCATCCTCTGCCTCACACCTTCACTTGGACCTTCAACAACAGCGGCGAGAGCGTCAAGATTCCGCAGGTGACTCATACAAATATTTTATGATGTATATAGAGAATATTCGTCAATATAAATTGTCATTTTGTCGCGCATCCTCTGCCTCACACCTTCACTTGGACCTTCAACAACAGCGGCGAGAGCGTCAAGATTCCGCAGGTGATTCATACAAATATTTTATGATGTATATAGAGAATATTCGTCAATATAAATTGCTATTTTGTCGCGCATCCTCTGCCTCACACCTTCACTTGGACCTTCAACAACAGCGGCGAAAGGGTCAAGATTCCAAAAGTGGTCACAAAATAATAGCTTAAATATATCTATCAAGTACCCTAGAGTTACACGGTTAGTACGCAGATGATCACGAAATAATATATTAAAAATACCTGTTAAATATTCGTAGTTGGTGGTCCGACTAGCCGTAGTTACTAGATGGTCAATGTTCCTTCTAAACAAACGCTATAGTCAATGAGGTCATATAGCACTCAGAGAAATCAGAGAGACTTTGTCCAAATATTGATGGACTTTTTGCCCTCGTCAGGGACACCCTCATCCATTTTGGTCCTGCAAAAGGGCGTATCAGTGCTACGTGCACAAAAAGTCTGTCACTATTTGGACAATATGACCCATCTGATTTTCTGAATAATAAACGGTGAACGAGGACATGAAATTCTGCATCGTAAAGTTATTTTAGCTAAACTTATTCAGTCTGACCCTTTTACCCTCTAATATAATGGCTTTGAGACTTCTGTTGAACATAATATTGTAAATATTGTGTTATTCAATTAACATTTAATTCGAACTAAAAGATGTAGAAGATGGTTTGAGCGAATTGCATTGGGATTCAAAAATTCATTAAAATACATGAATAATTTTCATTAACGAAATCCGTATAAATTAGCAGAGATTGTCCAATTAATAAAGAGCGAGCGTCCTCTCATCGACAGAGCTTCTCTAGCAATCAACTGCACTCGGCAAAATGAATGGGTCAAAGTGTTTAAATAGTGTCACAATTACTATTTAACGACAGCACGAGTAGGGAGCGGATGTAGCACTTAAATGTCCTTTTGCTGGGCCAAGCTAAGTCAGCGTGACCCACGAAAGCGTATAATGTGTATGGCTATTTGGACACAGTCTGACTCATTTCTTTGAGTGTGCATTGAGCGTGTCAAGGCATCTCATCGGGGATTTTAATTGTGAATCAAGTGGATTAAAGTGGAGCAGAATGGCAAAAGCTCATTAATGATGGCTATCGTCAGGCAAAAATGAACATAAACATAAAGTTTTTATTCTACACACTTTACTCCTGGCTCGCCGCTGTACCGAGGCAGCTATAATCTGCCTTCACACCTGAACAGCGTCAAAAACATTTGTTTTGACAACAGCCAAAAAATATAATTAACAATCAACAATAAAGCTCTAATGAAAGCGCGCGCAACTCTGTCGTGCCGGCTGAAGTCTGCATTATTCCTGCATGACAAATGAACATCCCCTCACTATCAGTTCTTAGTTTCACAAATGAACATCGTCTCACTATCAGTTCTTGGTTTTACAAATGAACATCGCCTCACTATCAGTTCTTGGAGTTTCACAAATGAGCCTCTTCTCACTATCAGTTTTTGGTTTCACAACTGAACATCGTCTCACTATCAGTTCTTAGTTTGTCTCTTATACACATCTAGATGTGTATAAGAGACAGGTNGTTTCACAAATGAACATCGCCTCACTATCAGTTCTTAGTTTCACAAATGAACATCGCATCACTATCAGTTCTTAGTTTCACAAATGAACATCGTCTCACTATCAGTTCTCAGTTTCACAAATGAACATCGCCTCACTATCAGTTCTTAGTTTCACAAATGAACATCGCATCACTATCAGTTCTTAGTTTCACAAATGAACATCCCCTCACTATCAGTTCTTAGTTTCACAAATGAACATCGCCTTACTATCAGTTCCTGGTTTAACAATTGAGAATCACTATCAGTTGCTGATCTATCTGCAGACAAGCGTTCATTTTACGTCGCTTATCACCGACGGACTGTCAACTCAATTACGCCTACAAGCAATCGCCTGTACAATAACACGTGTTTCTGAGGTTGTGTTCGTACATGTTGAAGTCAATAGACCTATTTTGAGTTGAACAAATTTGGGTTTAATATCGGAAATTTGCAGAGATTTTTTTTGGTGATCAAGTTTCGTTGCTGGAATACACTAAAAAAAATAAATTGGTCATCTTATCCCAATTGTGACACATTTTCTTAACAACTGCGCGATCATGGAAAGCCTGTTGCCGGTTCAGGATGACGTACAAAAGTTGAAAATTGCTTAGTAATTTCGGCGATGACTTCTTTAAAAAAATGACTTCCTAAAAAATTATTAATTAGCTAACTTTTTCGAAACAATATGCTTTATGAAGAGGTTTCAAGCTATTATTATGCCCTGAGAACATGAGAATCCCAAATGATAAATGTTAAAAACTAAGTATAAATGTCTGTGTAAAAAGCTTTTATCCGTCCAATAACATGACTATCAATAGTAATCATAAAATTTTATTATGCCTATAGTTATTATTGTGAATCCGCTCTTTTCCGTCTCATATTATGATTATCTATAATAATCAATCGGGAAAATCAATTATAAATGTGTGTGTGTCGTGGATACATGATTGTGACGAGCGCCGATTATACATCACCCATTATTTATTTAGAAAAATGATTATCCATCCGATAACATGACTATCCACCCGATAACATGACTATCCACCCGATAACATGACTATCCACCCGATACCATGAAATTCTATTAGATATCACGATTATCCATTAGATATCACGATTATCCATCCAATAACATGATTATTTCTCCACCCGAAACCATGATTATCCATTAGATAATATTGTTATCCATTAGATAACAATATTATCCATTAGATAACAATACTTTCCACACTAATCAATAACTCTGCACATCTCAGGACCACGTGACAGTGTCAGGCGCTCACTCGACTTTGTCATTCGTGTCGAGATCTTGTCATTTATGCCGAGATCTTGTCATTCGTTTAGAGTACTCGTCATTCGTGTCGAGATCTTGTCATTCATAACAGAATCACCCTTGTGTCGCTCATGCCAGTATTTCCTTCGTGACACTTATGTCGAAATTTCCTCTGTGTCTCTGTAGGCGAATTTCCGTGGAGTTACTCGTGCCAGAATTTCCCTTGTGCCATTCGCCTCGGAATTGATGCCACTGTGGCATCAAGGCTTGATCGATGGAATGCCATCGCAATATCAGCGTCATTATCGATTCTCGTTAATAGATTCTGTCAATCAGAAACCGGATCATGTTGACGAGCCATTTTCCAATTAACTAATTAATTAGCAATTGTTCTTCAGGTAATAGATAACTAAGGGGTTAATCATAGCTATTGGCGGTCATGACAATATATTGCAAATCGTTTAAAATATTATAAATATGACTCACGTTTATATTCGCTTACATTTTATAAAACTAATTATTTTTAGTGCTTATTTTCTTGGCGTGATTTGCATTAAAAAACTCTGACTTAACGGTAATTATTCTGGATAATTTTTGTCGGAATTCAGCTTTACAGCGACATTAAAGCACGCAATGGCTTCCTTCCCTATGAAATTATAAAACACTTTTAGGCATGGAACAAAAAACTGAAGCGCATTAGAAGTATTCTGGACAATCCCCTCGAAGTGGGGCTGCCTCGGTCTAAAAAGCCTCATTTGTGAGGCCAAAGTTTCTTGAACTTTTTTCTTGTGGTAAATAAAAATTCAGACGAGGATAATTGGAATTTTTTGAGCGCAACGAGCGAGGCTGGTCGATGAAGGCGTCGGCATTCTCATACCCATTTGGCCGCTAATTATAGCATGCATTTCGTTCGATATTAATTCGGAATTAATGATTAGTATATGTTTTATATTTATTGTATTATTTTAAACTGATCTACGTTAGTTAATTTCTTTATATTATTGAGATGATTGGCTTATGATTGTAACATATTGACTTCATAATTGATAGTTTTAACAGTTGTGCGTGATTCAATGTTTAATTCGATTGAAAGGAATGCTTGGTTAGTGTTTGAAACATATTGATTGAATTATTATTTCTAACAGTTATTATTATTAGTTATTTCTTACAGTTATAAGTAGATTAATTTATTAGTTCGATGAGAAGGGAAGAACATTCTCATCATTCTTGGATCTCTACATGGTCCCATTTCCACATGAATTCTCCATTATTAAATATTCGATCTAAAATTTCTAGTGGAGCTCACACGTTACACGAGGCTTCATGCTGAATTCATTCACACACTCAATATGGAATAAATCTCTTCAGGTGTTCACACATGTCTAAAGTCTCGAGAACTTCGTGGCCAAATCTTCAAAGTCTAAACAATTCTCACACATTGTCAGCAAAGGCGTACAAAACTCTGTAAAAAATTCAGATGATCTGTCAACAGAACAGAAAAATGTCAACCGCGGGGACATAACCAGTTACCGCTGACTGCGTGCACTCAGAAAAATTACTGGGTAGCCTTGTCTAGTGTGTAGCACTAGAATGCCCATTTGTCCGACCAATAACGGGTCAGGATGTTCCATACAGTGGCAATAAGTGCATCGCTATTTAGACAAAGTCTCAATCATTTCTCCACGTGCGCCGAAGTTACTTGCTTTAATTTAGTTGCCGTTGCAAGCTGCTTTTGAATGCACAGACGACGAAGTCAAGGTAGCGTGATGGCCGGCCATCAGAGGACGATTTTTAGCAGCAATGGAGCGGCCAGACTCCGTTTAGTCATCACCTTAGCACTCCTATTGCCTGCGAATCCCTCCATTAGAGCTGCCACACAAAACTGATTGCGTGAATTTGCGGGGAAATGGTCGGTTGCTAGTGGGCTTTTTGCGTCCACGTGGGTTTTGCATTGCGGTTTAAATAAGCCCCAGACACGCGATAGAAGCCCATGGGTTTCTTTTTTCCGTCTACGTGGGTTATTGTTC